TTTTTTTTAATTATTTATTTTTTTTTAAATATGGAGGAGAATGTAAGTAATGCCGTATAACTGCGGATGCCGTGCAGGGAGAAAGAGAGAGAGAGAGAAAAAGCGAACAAATATTTGGAAGTCAGGCTGAAATCTATCCAGGCAGTGGGCAGATTAGATAGAAAGGAAGTAAAACCATTTTTACATTTGAAAGAATGCAGCTCCTAGGTAAGGATTCTGTGTTTTTAATCTCTTAACGTGAACGTGGTCGTTAAGAATTGCGGATTTGAGTTAGATTTCTGATCTGGGAACTGTCTGGTAGAGCATGCAGCCAGGGGAGATCTTTCCAGGTTAAAAAAAAAAACCAACAAAAAGACAATAAGAATCTATTTTTAGGTGTTAATTTTATGCCTTGATAACAGTGTTCTGGAAAATGGGGTAGATGTCTGTATGAGAATAATGGTATAATTAGATAAATATAAGGATGCATGTGTGTAGAATATAAAATCCTTTGGGGTTTTTTTTCCTCTGTTTGCAGTGAAAAGGACTGAATAGGCCACATTTTGCAGGGTGTGAACTGTTGCAGTCTGTACTGGTCCGTTTATATTAACGTTGGTTAAAATTGCAGGCTATCAGTTGCTAAAAATCAAGGATTGCTATACTAGTTTTCTAGTATCCATTTTTAATATCATTTTTCATGTCTGTTGCATAAAGGTGCTGTGTGTTTCAAACAAAGAAGGGGGAGGGGGAAGCTTGGTGGTTAAAAAAAAAAAAAAAAAGGTATTCCTGTAAAAGAAACAGAGGTTATTTTTAAAGAATAATCTAAATATAGAGTAGTGAAGCAAAGGATTCCAGACAGGTAGATGTACTGGTGGGAAAAGCTGTAGAATCCATTATTTCCAGGTGACAAGTAGGCATGTAAAAATAAGATGAGCATCTTCATGCTTACGTTATGTAGCAGAGGATAGATATTAATCTTTTTAGAATATATCAGAGCAGAACTGTCATTCCGGCCCATTAAAACAAATTCCTGAGTCAACTGTGACAATACATATTCTAATTGCAGGCCATGCTAGATATTACAATTAGAGAGTATTCAGGGAACTTACCATAATTCCTTTTTTCTTTTCCCTTAGAAAGGCAGTAATACCAGTTGCAGAGAGAATCGACAAGTGAATTTATTTGACTATAAATGTTGAATTACTCTGTTCTTTCATTTACCTTTTGTGGAGTTTCTTCTTTATTAATCAAGGTTAAAAAAGCTTCTGTCCATCCTCTACCAGAATTTTCTCAGCAGACCTTTTGTTTTAGAACTGCAAGTCAAATTGTTTATATTATTGGAGATGGGAGGGAGATTTTAAAAATTATCTTCTTTTTTTTTCTTCTTCTTTTTCTCCCCACCTCTGTCTTCTGAAATGCACAGCAGCTTTGCTGTCAAAGCCTGGCCAGCTGCTGACCAGCCATGATAGGCCTTCATTAAATCAATCAGATGAATGCAGACCTACTTAATATATAATGAGTGCATAAAGTCGGTCGGAAGAGTCTAATCTGGGAATAGAAAAGATCCTGTTTTTCTCAAGTAGGATCTTTTATAGTGGTAATGGAGCAGAGAGACCTACTGTAGATCCTACCATTTTTCCAGTAGCTGGGGTTAAAATCTGTAACTTTGTTTTGACAGAGACTGTCTTTCTAATTGTGCTGCCTTTCATGACAGCTTAAAAGAGTACAGTAGAATTGGTAACAACAAGGCTTCTAGGCTTTACATGGTTCTTCTTTGACAGCTTTTGTAAGCTAAAGGAGTGGGAACCAGTATGCTAATCCTCCTCGTTAGTTGTGACTGACCTGTGTAGCTCAGAGTTGACTGTGAGGGAGGGAAATGTGGAAATTGCTTGTCATTGACTTGAACAGGGATTGCGTTACATTGAGTTGCTCAGCACGGTCAGATTGTTGGATTTTTGGCAATAATTGCAATACGTGGTGCAACTCGGGATTATTTTTCATTCACAATGTGGGATTTAAGTACCAGAATGGATATTGATATTGCTTGTGTCACAAAGAGTGAAAAAAAGCTGAAGGTAATATAGAAAAAAGTTCTTTATCAAATGAGAATTTAAAGCACGTAATTGGTTTGAATCCAGGTGAAAATCTGGACGTTGCTTTTGGTTCTTACCAAGTTTTCATGTCAGAATAAGAGAACTGACTGTCTTTTGAGGGTACATTTAACAGTCAAAGAATGCATTGCAGATAAAAGGAAAGAGAAAATCTCTAAACTTCAGTATCTCCACACAGAAATCAAAGCTTTTCAAAGAATCATAGAATAATAGAATGGTTTGGGTTGGAAGGGACCTTAAAGATCATCCAGTTCCAACCCCCCTGCCATCAGCAGGGACACCTTCCACTAGACCAGGTTGCTCAAAGCCTCATCCAGCCTGGCCTTCAACACTTCCAGGGAGGGGGCGTCCACAACTTCCTTGGGCAACCTAAAAATCCTTTTGGAAAACTACCTGATTTTTATTAAAAATCAGATTGTATATACTACTGAATTTGCTTGTATTTAAGATATCCTTTCAGGGAAGGAATCATACCTATTTGTTTCTCAGGATTAAATAGTCAGATACTCCTCATTTTACAAGGGAATGTGTAAGCAACATGGTTTTGCCTCTTGGTCTCCCTGTAGGCCATTCCAATTCCAAAAGAATCAAGATTTTAGCATACGGTAGTTTGAAATACATTTTCAGTACATGTTCATAATAGATACATTCACATAAGATCAGAGTAAAGCAAAGAAATTTTTCTTTAAATTTTGCAAGTTTCTAAATTGTTTCTTTTTCTAATATCCAGATCTGGAAAAAGAGATTTGTATCTTACCTGTAGAATTGGTTGTAACACCATCTTGGAGAGACTCTTTCTTCTTACCTGTGTATGTCACTTTAATAGCAGTTCCTTGTTCTTTCACTTTTCCCCCCCATAATCAAACATGCAAAAAATTCAGGAAAAAAACCTCTGCCTAGTTTGTCTCCGTGCCTCTCACTGAAGAAAGAGCTGTAGCACCTCCAGGTGTACTCTTAGAGGAATTTTCTCTTAGTCTTCATTTTGACAGTCACCTGAGGATGCATCTGTGGTATGTTTAATAATGTACATTCATTTAAAGTTTGTAGGTTTCTTGCATGTAGCAGCATCAAGAAACATCAGTCAAAAGTTGCTTGACATTGTTGAGGAGGGAGAATGCCAGAAGCATTTTCCAGTGTACCTGTTCTGCAAATAAACAAGGATTATTTCAATCCTTATGATAAGTCATTACTATATGACATTACCTTCTAGTGGAAGGTGTCCCTGCTGATGGCAGGGGGGTTGGAACTGGATGATCTTTAAGGTCCCTTCCAACCCAAACCATTCTGTGATTCTATATGTTTTATTAGGACTAAGTTCATAAAGGAAGGATGAGTATATGAAATCCATAGGACACTTTTAGGAGACTTGAAATTCCAACAAATTATCAATAATAATCTGTTAAAATATTTACATTTTGCTTCAAAATAGTTCTTGTTTCCCATATAGTCTTTTCTCTAAGTGTGGGAGACCACATAAAATGATACCTGAATGATTCTGTTGCAACATATAAAGATAACACTGTAAAAGCTGACTCTAAAAATTAAATACAGGAATACAGTAATTTCAAAGTTAATGAAGCATGCTATCTGGAAACAAGTGGTTTATTTACATATATATAGATATTTAAATATATATATATGTATGTATGTATGTATATATAAAAACCTAAGTAGCTGTGATGTGTAATATGCAGAATAGCTTTTTTAAAAAAACCCAAACTACACATTGATTAGCTAATCATTCTGCTTATGCCTGTGTGTTTGTAGGAGTTTTGGCTACTGTGAAGCATGGCCTGCATCATGCCATGCACAAATGTTCTTTATAAAGGTTTTCTTGCTCACAGATTTGTGCTAACAGGTGTTCTCAGAGTAGTCCTCAAAGAGCAGCAGAGAAGTTGCGAACTGAGGCGCAGCCCTAGAGTGAGTCATTGTTGAGGATGGTTGAATTCCTGGTTCTTGTTGGTAGAAATTAACATTTGTAGATCACTCTCATCTCCACATGGTGTAAAGCTGTTAACTTGTTGCAATCAGTTTAATTCTTTTCATTTCTTTAATTAGCGTTCAAACTTGGCATCAGAAAGCAAATGTGCAAGCGATGAAAGCGCATTTAAGTAGTCTGAAGCAACAAAATTACATTAACTCTAATTCTGGCAGCTTGTCTTGATCATATACTCTTGTGAACTCCAAATCCTGTACTCATTGTTCTTCCTCTCAGCTTGTATTTATTTCACAGAAGAGTTTATGGAATTGTCAGTCTATTAATAACATAAAAGAAAGATCTGTCCCTGGTACCTTACCCTGTATTGATTGAGTGAATGCTGTATGTGCTTATAAGTAGATATTAATTCTTTTTTTTTTTCTTTTAAAAAAGATAATTAAAGATATTAAAGATATTAATTCTTTTTTGAAATAAACTATTTCATCCTTTTTGCTCCTACTCAGCTCTACAGGTTAATGTTCACAGCAGCTGTAACATCTTTCTGTAGAGTAGATGATGAGTCAGGGTAAGGGAGCTATATTCTTGTTCAGAGTCATGCTAAAGACAGAGGCAAAACTCATCAATGGCTTGAAACCAAATGAAGCAAAGCCAGTTACAAGTTTTCTGCAAGCTTCTGTGGGTTTTATGTTGTGCTTATTTGCTGGTTGTTACTCTCAAAATAATTTTACAAAATACTTGAACGCTGTTAGTATTATTTGGAAGGCAATAAGAAATTGAGTTGAGAAAGGAGTATGTCCTTTTTACAGAGCTCCTGTGTTGATTTCATTGTTTCACTGTTTACAATGTTCTCTAACTGATGTGACCTGCTAGTCAGAAAGGAGGAAAAAAAATCTCAAACCTATAAAATTTCAATTTTTTAATGATAAGCCAAGAAGGGCATCTTGGAGATTCCTTTTAATGAAATTCAGCCTCTCACCATGAGACAAAAACCATTTTCTCATGTTGCATTTAGTTATGGCTATTGGATGAGAAACAGAAAGGTCTCAATTTTTAACTCCTGCCACTTAAGAATTTGGATTTATCTTTGGCTACAGTCTCCCTTTTTTGCAGCATCTGTGTAGGCAAAAGATGAAATAGAGAGACAGAACTCTTTAAGAAGACTGATTTTGAAGAATTGTTACTGTGAACTTATGACCAGTCTAAAATGGGCACAAGTGCCTGGGTAGGAGAAGTGGGTTTTGGAGAGTAGCAGTGTTGCTCCAGTGCCTGCTGAAAAGAGATGCTGGGATTTTTAACTCTCCAGCAGTGGTGATGGCAGGTTGTGGCATTAGTGTTTCTCAGGTGTTTTCTTCACTTTGGGTGCAGCTTTTAGGGTTGCTAATACAGCAGCTTAGGTGATGTATTTAAAATAAAACTGAACTCCAAGTGAGAAGAGTAGACACTCCTGGGTACTCAATATGTCCAGTTATAAAAAGATAACCATGATGAAAATTGACCTCTTCTGAAAATCCATGTATCTTAATTTTGCAATAATCATGCAGGTCAAGGGAGGTGATTCTGCACCTCTACTCTGCTATGGTGAGACCCCACCTGCAGTCCTGTGTCCAGCTCTGGAGTCTTCAGCACAGGAAAGACGTGGACCTGTTGGAGCGGGTCCAGAGGAGGCCACAAAAACGATCAGAGGGATGGAACAGCTCTGCTGTGAGGACAGGCTGAGAGAGTTGAGGTCTTCAACCTGGAGAAGGCTCCAGGGAGACCTTACTGCAGCCTTTCAGTACTTGAAGGGGCCTTTAAGAAAGATGGGGACAGACTTTTTAGCAGGGCCTGTAGTGACAGGACAAGGGGAAGTGGGTTTAAACTACAAGAGGGGAGATTTGGACTAGATACAAGGAAGAAATTTTTTACTCTGAGTGGTGAAACCCTGGCCCAGGTTGCCCAGAGAGGTGGTAGAAGCCCCATCCCTGGAAACATTCAAGGTGAGGTTGGACAGGGCTCTGAGCAACCTGATGTAGTTGAAGATGTCCCTGCTCAGGGGAGTTGGAACTAGATGGCGTGGAAAGGTCCCTTCCAACCCAAATTATTCTGTGATTCTCTGATTCTTCTCATTTTGACCAGTAACAGCAAAAGAGTTTGAAATAGCTGATACCTGACTTATTCCTTGGTGACAGTCATTGAGGTCTTATTCAAGTCACCTCTCAGAAGGATTTAGTGTCTGCTGTGGCATTGGTACCAGGCATGGTTCAGACTCTCTCTGTCAAGGAGTGGTGACCTACCTCCTACACCATCAACAGAGAAAAGCGGGTGCAGGATTCAACATATCTCACATAAGCACATGAATATTGCAGTCAGGTTTTCTGCCCCCATCCCGTGAGTACGTGAAAGCTTTTAATCTTTTTGCTTTTCTTCAGCTGGAAATAGTTGGTATGAGTGAAATGGTTAACGTTCTGTCTGCAGGAGTGCTGTTTCTAACCTATCTTTCTGCTGTTTTGACCTAGAGTTCTGCTTTGGCATTATGCCCACATAAAAGAAATGGTTTGAATTGAACTATTCAGAAATATTTCTGAATGTGTACTGTTATTTAGATGCATTTGGTTTGCACAGTTTGAGTTGTATTGCCTTTAATCAGTAAACATGACAGCAGACGGTAGAAATTTCTCGATCTTGAAGTTGGTTCACAGTCTGGATGGAGAGAAAAAAGCTGTGGTTTCTATAGCAATAATTCATTTGTTAACCTGGAAGAACAGGATAATTCTACAGATAACTATTTCTCTTTATATAATGCCTATAATATACAGTATGAGGAAATGGTAACTGATGCTCTACGGTGTTGTGATTATTCATTTAATTTCTTCAAATTATTTACCGACAAAAAATAGGAAAATAAGAATTAGATATTGTCTCTGCCTGATTGTAGGTGATCCCTGTAGACTCTGAAGCTCAGAATTCACTGAAGCAGGCAGGGCTTAAATTCATTCTGATGCTGGGCAGATTGCTCTCTGGTTAACAAGGCAGCAGCATTTCTATTTACATTTCACTGCCTATCTTCCTATCTTGAAGCTTCAAGTTTACAGAATGCAGAGATGACTAAAGCTGAAAATTGCTGTTCTGGTCTCCTTCTGGAACTGCTTGTGACTTTTATGTTATTTTTAATAATGTAATGATAACATATTTTAACACGTACTGTACGTCTTCCCTTCAAGACAGCTGCGGTCTTCCTTGTGCAAACTGCCTTAGCAGCAATCCCTGTGATTGCCAGGCTGGTAGGAAGGAAGTAGCATAAAGTGTTGCAGGGAAAAGATGTTTCTTTTTTTCCTTCCCCCCCCTGGTCTCTGCTAGTATCTCAGAATTCCATGAAGTATATGTAGATATGTAGAAATTATTTCCCTTCCCTCAATAAATGTACTTTATTTTCACAGTTTCCACCTGAATAAAATAAAATCTTAATTTCACACCGTGGACTGCTGTTAAAGTTTGCAAGTGTTTATCTCTTTAAGTTGTAAAGATAAAACTAAGGAATTTATGATAATAAATTATGGAAATATGTGTTCGGGGAATTATGGAAGTGATTGTAAAAGTGTTTCCAAATATAAGCTGAAATTGAGCACTGGAGCTTCATTACAAAGTGAATACTGTCTGGAGCATCAAAAATGGGAATGGTTGGAGAAAAGATTGTTCTGCAGCCTTATCTATAGTTGGGGTAAGGAAGATGAGTTAAAAATACCCCAAACAAACACACACACAAAAAAAAAAGAACTAAAAAACCTAGAGTTCCTCTGAACTGCTTCAGTCTTGTAATTAACGGACTTTTCTGTATTAGAACAAAATGTTAAATATATTAGTGTTTTCATTTGGAAGGTCGCAAATTCTTTCTATCACGACTTGAGCCTTTCCCTGACGTACGTTTTCTTTTCCTCCTCCTGAGGCACACACTTCAGTCTCCTGAGTAAACTTTGTTTTCTGCATATTTCACCATGACGTGGGTGCAGGGCCAAATGGGAAGTGGTTTGTGTTCAGTTCTTGCTGTTAGGCTTTTGTACACATGTATTGTTACTTTGCATGTTTTATGTTCTCATTATGACTGCATTTGTTTTCACAGCCTGAGGAAGAGCTTGATCCTGAAGAGAGGGACAACTTCCTCCAACAGCTTTACAAGTTTATGGAAGACAGAGGTAACACTGAAATTTGTATTTATTTAGTTTTTATATGTTTTTTTTTTTTAATATCTGGCTGATTTTTTTTAATGGCTTTTAAAAATTGCTTTTAAATGTAATTGGTGTTATTATGAGCATATTCTTACGTCAGTGAAAAAGGATAACAGCTAGTCTGGTGCAAGGGAAAACACTTCTACCCATTTTCAGATGTGGCAGGTCTGCTTCCAGTACTTTGAAGCACAGAGCACAAAGGAAACTGAAATCCTTCCTGAGGTGTTTTGGTTTTGTTTTGCTTTCACAAAACTTTTTTTTAATGTTAACAATCTCTGTTAAATAAGCTCTTGGTTGATTTCTTGTTGTGACAGCCGTGGCTGGGAGCTCTGCTGCTGTTAATCTCAGGCTGGAACCTGAGCAGGCTATTCATGGATGGTGGAATTGAACCAGCAGAGAGTGGGAGACGTGCCATCTTCAAGTCTCCTTGCAGAACTCTCTTCACCTGAAGAGACAACTTAAAAGATTCTACTTTGTCCAGTAGCTAGAACAAGAAAATAGCATCTTTTAAATGTCTTTCTTTAGAGAATTAGGTGAGAGTGTTATAAATTGGGATGAAGTCCTGGCATAAGGCATACATTGGAAGTGCACGCACAGTGTAAAGAGAGAGGGAGGCACTTGCTGATTTGGGAGAACTGGTCATAAGCCATTTGCATTTGCAGTTGTGATGAGACTGACACTAAAATGGAAGGTTTTCTGTTCCTTGGCTGCACACATGCCTTTTTTAAAAAAAAAAAAAGTATTTAAGCCTGGGAGGAGTTTTATCTTTTAGAGTATATTTGTTTTATTCATTTTACTCATGAACTCCCTGTATCAATTTGAATACTGTAAGTGTTAATCCTGCAATAACATTGGTGGAGGTAGATTTTTTTTTTCTTTTTCCTTGACAAAAGTTACCTGAATGATATTTCCATAGCAGCACAGAGTACAGCAAATGTTGATGAACCTGAGTTTGAAATAACCAGAGCTAAGAGTAAAATGGAAAGTCCATGTAGTGTCTGAATATTTTCCCCCCCTTTTTTTTTTCTTGGGTGTTAAAATTGGTGAGGAAATTGGGTTACCTTTGTGAAAGAGGCCCTGTATCCCCATTAATGAGGTGTGTTCTAGACCACAGAATTGTAAAAGAATAGTTCCAAGTCTGTTCAATATTGCCAGTTCTTATCACAGGTTTAGAAATTGATCATGTATTTTAGCAAAGTATCCTGGAGTTCATCCAGTATAATTTTGAGGCCTCTTGTGTATGACCAGTGTTTCTAGAGAATAACCTGCCTTGGGTGAATAAGAGGCTATGTTGGGGTGAGGAAAAAAATCCCTATGCTGCTGGACTGATCCACAGTTTTCTTTCTTTTCTAGTAGCCTGATTCTTCCCCCTTTTCTGTTTTCCTCCTTCCTCACTCCCTTTCCTAAGCACTCTTAGACTACAAACCAAGTAGGGCTCATGTCAGGGACTTGTAGAGGCTGAAGAAGGAAGCATTTTGTGCACTGAATTTGAACTCTCAGTCCAGAAGCTATTCTTTAAGCTAGTATGTCAATTGAGCATGTACAGGATTTTTTTCAGGACTGGGTCTTTCCCCCTGCCTGCCTACTTCCCCCCCCACCTCTGTCCTCATAGGAAGATTTCTGTTCCCACCAGATTCACTCTACATTCTCTTCTCTCAGTACAAATGTTTTGATTCGTGTAATCATGACAGTATTCCCAGAGTCCTATACAGTTACTTTAATGATTCCAAATATAATTGCATGAAGATGAAGGAAGATGAGAAGCAGCAGGGAGGAGGTTTGATATCCTTCCTCGCTGGGAGGAATACTGTCTATGTACACAGCCTCTTGCCCCAAGTCACTTCTGGTTTCTCCTTCTTTTGCAATTAATTATTTTTCTTTATGTCATTGCCTCTCATCTGATTTGAGTTCTTTCCTTTTCCCAGAACTGTCCCAGATATTCACATCCTGTTAGGCCTTTGTGCTTTTTTCACATTCTGACCATTTGCCTGCATATCTTTTTCTAATCCAACATTTCTGCTTCTTCCCCATTCCTTTCTGACCACAGTGTTTTGAGTTAATCTCTTTGCACGTTGCTATATTCCAGCATTCATCAGGCGTTCTGTAGAGCTCGCTGCAGTTCTGGCTGTCCCCCTGCTCAAGAGAGGAACAGTGGGATGCAGCCAATTGGATGAGGGTTATTGCACAAATCTGAAAAGGAGGTTGAGAAATCAGAGTTATCAAGCAGCTGGTGCCAGTATGCTAATAAACCACCCAGAAATAAGTGATGCATTCAAAAGAGGGTGAATCCTTAATTGGTGGTTGGAAACTAGTGACATGTGACATATTTTAGAACTATTAAATACAGATTTTAAAATGTAGAAAGATATTAGTAATCAAATGTGTGCTAAAGGAATGGAAGAAACAGTTTGGTGTTCTTTGTGATAGCTTCTTACTTCTGGTTTTGTTTTATTTAGGTACTCCTATCAATAAACCACCTGTTTTGGGCTACAAGGACCTCAATCTCTTCAAACTTTTTAGACTGGTTTATCAGCAGGGTGGGTGTGACAACGTAAGTGTCAGATGTTTCCTGAACTAAATATGAGTATTCATTCTTAGGCTGTGGCTTGTGGCTGTGTTAGATGTTATTCCTTAATGTTCTTGGTTAACAAAACCTGAAAATTGCTTTTTCTTCCTTTTTTCCCCCCCAAAGATTGAGAGTGGTGCTGTATGGAAGCAAATTTATATGGACCTTGGCATTCCTATTTTGAACTCGGCTGCTTCCTACAATGTAAAAACTGCTTATAGAAAGTAAGTTCTCATCTTGTATAATGGTGGAAATGTTTTTTCCTTCTTTTTAGTAGCCTGTACAAGATTCAAGCAATTTTTGATAGCTTAGTGAAACAGTAGTTGACATTCTTCAGTTAATGAACAGTTCTGAGCGTTTTCTAGTGCTGAGAGTTGACATGGTGGAGGAAAAGAGGGAGTGGAGTGCTCAGGGCTACCTAAGTTTCTGTTGCTCTAGTACATTAGAATTCCACTCATTTTCTTATCCAGAAGCATTCACTTCCAGCATGTGATGATGCCATTTCAGATTACAACAATGAAATTTATAAAAAAAAAGCTTTGGCAAATTCAGCATTGCAGATTACAACAATGAAATTTATAAAAAAAAAAAAGCTTTGGCAAATTCAGCATTTCAATTTATGGTGATTAACACGAACAGACTCTGTCCTCAGTCTGTAGATGCTGCATGCAGTGAGGAGAATTTTGTAGCAGTTTCTTTAACTTCCTGAAAAATGTTCATAGAGATAGACATGTTTTAGATTGTGTATTTAAATATTGTCTTTGTGGAATAATGACTTTAGGGCTTAACTATGTACATTGCTATGATGGATGTGACAGTATTAAGTAGAAAAATCACTGCTTGTAATGAAAAAATGCATATATCTTTTTATTCTGACCCTTGGTTTTCAGTTGTGTTTTAACTTTTGAAATGGAAACCTTTTAGGAATGACACTTTTCAAGCTCATTTTCTAAATAAAGATTATCTTTATTATTTATCATCCTGGAAGTTTGACAAGAAGCAATTGGGCTTTTTTGAGTAAAAGGGAAGAATGAGGTTCTCTTGACTCGAACCTAAGGAAATTTGGCTGATTGAATAGGGATGACTAATGACTCAACTCATGTTAATGTTGATGAAGATGAAAATATTCAGACTATCTTCAGTGGGATTTGAACTGGGAACGTATTTAAGGTCTGTATTTTACAGAGAAGAGTGTTTATCATAAAAAGAGTAATTGGTAAATACGTACCAGGTTCTGTTATAGTGGAAATATTTATGTTGTATGGACACATAACAGGATGTTGTAACTTGCTACTTCGTATTTCTCTCACCTGTAACTGGATTAGAGTGTGCACACAGGCAGCTACCAGAGAACAAGCTGATGAATGACAGTTTACCCTGCAGTAGTGACTTCTTTGTGTGCTCATGTTCTAATACGAGGTGGTTTTAACTGTCATTGTGCATTTGCAAAACAGTGTACGTGTTCTTAGGCTTTACTGTCATGAATTCATAATTGGATGGGGATGAAGTTAAATATCTGGAAAGCACCTGTGTGTATTCTTTCTCACTATTAGACTTGTGTGCATAATTGTTTCATTTCAAAATCTTCTCTGGCTTTTAATTTTTTGTTTATTCAGGTTTGGGTTTTTCTGTTTTGTTTTGTTTTTTTTTTCCCCCAAAGTTCCTGCTCCTCTTGGTTTTCTGTGATCAGGAAAATAGGTTTTATGCACTTCAATAAATAGAAAATGAAACATGAAATACAATTGAAACTTTATTTGTATCTATAGGTATCTTTATGGTTTTGAAGAGTACTGCCGTTCTGCAAACATTCAGTTTAGGACCATCCATCACAATGAACCAAAAGTGGTAGAAGACATACAGACACACGTGGAACCAATGGAGGAAGGTGTGAAAGAGGAACAAAAAATGCCCCCAACAGAAGTTAAAAAAGAAGCAGAAGAAAATTATTCCAGCAGTGAAAGTGAAAAAGAAGAAATAGAACTAAGATCCCCAAGGGTAAGTGGTTTGAACTGATTTCTGTTTAGTACTTCACAAAACCCCTTTGTATAGTGAACAGTTGACATAATGAGTTTTCCCTTGTGGAGTAATTGTACGTTGGCTGTACTTGTACAAGCCTAGGACAGGGTTCTGTGAACACAGAGTTGGTGTTAACTGTGTTCTGCCGGTGAGCAGAGTCAGTTTGGATTATTTCTTCATATTCTAAACCATCCATGGGATTTACCCAGGCTGTGTTGGATGGCAGACAGGTTTTGATTCTGGGGTGGCTCGAGAGCTGTACGTCATCACAACAGTGAAACTCAGCAGGACAGTCTTGGTTGTGGGTAAGAATTTCCACGGGCACGTGGAATCTGGAGCTTCCCAGCAAGAAGCAGGAATATCAAGGGACTGCTACAGCTTGAAGAATTAAAGGAAGACCCATTTCTCAGAATTTATTTTTATCACAATATCTCTTCTTTTAATAACAAAAACACTACAATTTTACAGTATGTAGACAGAAGTAGAGGGAGGAGCATTTAAGTTTTGTCTTCCTTTGTGTTTGAATGCTGATGAGATGAGGGATGTATTAGTCATTACATAGGTAAGACCAGTGACTCATCAGCTAGTGGATACTCAACCTGATGGAGACTACAAGAGTGTTTTTAAGGTATTGAGTATAACTCTGTCGCACTCCTTTTAATTCTGTTAAAAGAAGATTTTACGTTCCTTAATGGAGCATGATTACTGAAGGACAAGGAATTGCTACTTTTAAAATAGTTCAAGTTGTAAGGATTCTGTTTGACTAAAATGTAATTCTATTAAAGTACTTCTTGCAAACCAGCTTTTAAGGTAAGTATGTGGCCTTTAAAATTAATAGATAAAAAGACAGAGTGTAAACACAAGTTTAGCTTGCTATTACATAATAGTTTTCTAGCTAACTGCAAGTGGTTTTTCCAGGCTGTATCAGCCTTAATGAACTTGCTGGCCTGACATTAGCTCTGTTGTTAGTTTGTTCATTTATTTTTTGTTTTTGGAGAAAACTGGTGAGAGGTTAAAGAAATGTAAGAATTTTTTTGTCTTCTTTGTCATTGGCTTTCTATGATAATTTGTTAATAATTAAATATTATTTGGTTATGTAAATACTAATAAAATTATTTGGTTTGGGAATAAAGTTATTACTTTATTAACCCAGTCACAAGCTATCTATTTATGAATTAATATTTTTCCAAAGTATTTACTATTATGCTACTGTGAATTTTAATCACTATAGTGCCTTCATTACTGTCATCTTTGGATGGCCTCCAGATAATTAATTTTGCATTCATAACGTATTTTAAATGTTCTGATTACAAAGCAATGACTCTCAAGGGACTTCTAATAGTAAAATGATAAATCTGTACTAGATCCCCAAGAACCAGATAGTCCCAGACAGCAATTGTCCATCTACTCAAAGTACCTGTTAAAAGTGCAATACTTAATGTTTATTCTAAAGCTGACAAACTTCTGTTCTGTGAAATCAACAGGTGGCTGTAAGGATGGAAGATGCCTTCTCTCCGTAGTCCTACACAAGCACTTTAATTACTGCTATTGCTGCAGCTGAGCAAGGCATTTTGGCCCTTTCTATCAGGGCAATGCAAACCAATGTCCTGAAATCCCCCAGCAGTTAATCAGAAGCTCATCCTCTTTATTCTAAACCAAGCAGAATGGCTTTATTTTACTTTTTTCCATGATAACAAGACTTAAAGCTATTGAGATTTTAGAATATTTTGCTTTTTGGTGTTATGTCCAGCTTTTCTTCTGTACAGGAATAGTATGTTTCACTTTTAGCTGAGATTTGGAGAGGCTATACAGAGAACAGTTGACAAGAGTCATTGAACTGATCTTATTTCTGTTCTAGGGACGAAGACGACTTGCCCGTGATGCAACCCCTGCTAAAAAAGATAGTGAAGAGGATAAAACACAAGACAAATTAAAAGACAGTAACAAAGAAAACAAAGATATAGAGGAAATACCTGAGAATGCAGAAAAGAAAGAAAATGAAACTCCATTAGGGAGGAAAAGTACACCAAAGCAAAAAGAGAAGAAAATTAAAAAGCAGGAGGATTCTGATAAAGAGTCAGACGAAGAGGAAGAGAGGCAGAGAGAGAGGTAAACGTTGGCTTGTATCACCTGCTTGCAAGCATGTCTGTGTCATGATCGAGCTGTACTCCAAGCAGGACTTAGGCACAGAGTTGGAGGTCTTACCAACTAAAATGTGGAAATCAGAGACTAATTCACTCAGCCAGACAGGAAAGGGAAAATTGTAGAATCTGCTGTACTGTATGGAAGCATCTTTTTCTGGTAGATGCCAGACAGTATTTTTCACTTTCATTTTCCTGAAGGTCTCACCAAGGTTGTGTTGGTGTTCTGTCACACCAGTACGTACAGACAGCACACAGACCAAGCTATAAGTACAGCAGGTGCTGTATGGATGCTGAGGAGCTGTTTGGGCAGATTGTTCTGGGCAGTTGAAATATAAATGGAAAAGAAAGCTGCTCTTCTCCTGTGCTTTTGTTTAAGTGCTTAGTGGTGGCTGGGGAACCTCCAGCTTGCTTGTTTTCATTGTTACTTGATGTATTGTAAGCAGGCAGGAAGGGGAGCAGCTAATAAAGCAAAGGAGAAGGAAAGAGGGAGTTTGAATGAAACCTAGAGGTAGCTTGAAGAGGGGATGAAGAGACATGAAAGAGCAGAGGGAAAATAGCATCCAGAGACTTAAGCTTGACAAGTTGAATTGGATTTATAGTCCTGGTTACAGATGAGTTGTGAGCAGGTGACTGATTTATTACCAGACCAGTAGACCTCCTCTTAGCTGACTTAGGCTGTGGCCGTGGGCAGTGTCTGACCTGTTTAAGCTGCTTTCCTACCTTGTTTTTATTTCTGTGTGGCTAAGTGGTGTGGACACAAGTTGATACCGAATAAAGTCTGATAGGGGTATTGCATGTTTTCTTCTAAAGAGCTTTGAGGAATGGGAAAAACACACAATTATTTTAAAGAAAGTGTCACTTGCAATGCAGAAATGCCTCAAAGGAAGACACAGTGTGGGTGTGCAGCAGGTTGGAGAGGTATGTCAGGTGACTAAGGCATCCAAGAGTTTTCTTTAAGTGGTGCTGATGATACTTGTCCTCTTTCTTTTAATTGTTTGCCACAAGATAGCTCATTTTTCACTGAAGGTTAGCAAACACATTTCATTAAAAGCAAACCCATAGTCTTTTTTGGTGACTTTTTTTGTAGTTTTAACTTTTACATTATGCTAAATTCACCCTGAAATAGAGAGAAAAACATAGGTAAAAATAGGTTAGGCTGTAATTCTTGAAAATATGTTTAAGTAGAACATTGAAATATTAGATATAGCTATAGTAAGAGGTAGATACAGCTGATAAGAGCTGTGTAGACACTTCTAATCTTGATTAAACATTGTTATTGTAATCAGCTTTTTTTTTTTTCCCAATGGAATGGTGTTTGTGTCCCTGAGAGAGGTTCATTGTGATGGCGATTCAAACGTTTGTGCACTGTTAGTGAGCTGTAGCCTATTAAGAACACTGTAGAAAAACTTTTTTTCTAATAGTGTGTCAAAATCAAGTCTATTTTAAAAATTGAATTTAGTTCTTCCTGTCTTATTTAGGAGCTAACACTGAGTTAACTTCTTCTTCTTTTTGTATTATCAAAATACACGTAAGCTTTGAGGTAGTGGTACACCTAATAAATTCCATTTTAAATACAGTACAATTTTCTGGATGTTTTTGGCACTTACCTCTATTCTAAGTCCTATTTTTGATTTTTGAAAGCTGTGTTCAAGCTAGAGGCAGTGCAGGGTGTAGAAAAAGAGAAAACTTTTTCTTGCAGCCTTTTGCTTTTGTGGTAGCTTGGCTACGCTAGTTAAACGTTAAAACTTTGATTGTCACTAATTAGTGGACATTTTAAATACACTTTATTGCAGAGAGGAAATTGAGAACAAAGGAGAGTCAGAAGGTGAAGAGGATGAGGAGGACACAGAACCCTGCCTGACTGGAACCAAAGTGAAAGTAAAATATGGACGTGGAAAGACTCAAAAAATCTATGAAGCCAGTATTAAAAGCACAGAAATTGATGATGGAGAAGTTTTATATTTAGTTCATTACTACGGTTGGAATGTAAGGTGAGGGTAACAAATGGCCTTTCATTTCTTTCTTTGTTAAAAGGATTATTTGCAAAAGAATTTTTGATTTTTTTAAGAAAAAAAGAGAAAGATAAGTTACTTGGCTCCAAATTGAATTATCAACTCAGTAACAAGATCTGACTCTATTACACTTGTCAGTGTTAGTGATTTTGTTCATGGTATGACAACATTGAATAGAAATCTCAGAACATTCTTACTTGTATGTTTCCAGGTTTCCATCTGGCTTGAAGTGAGTCACCCTCAAATCTTACAGTTTACTGTGTCAGCTACTATTAGCACTATCAGACTTTTTTATTAAAGGGAGTCATTGATAATGGTGAAGACCTCTACAATTAAGTGTATCAAGCACTGAAATTTTGGCAACAAAATTTATTCTTGTATTGAACGTTAGATGTGATTATAAAGAATAGTTTTTACATGTAGAGAGGGCTGAGTTGTTACATGTAGAGTGCTAAAGAAAGCACTACAGAAAAAAAGTAATCAAATGCTTCTCTTGGTAGCCAAATGCTTTATATTCAGTACTGCTGTAGAAATGGCTTTTGTTGTTGTTGTTCTTAAGAGTATTGTGATTATGTAGACAAAAATAGCACAAAATTAATCATTTTTAAAACAAAACACTTCCAGTTTATACCTTGACATGTTCCAAATCCATACATTTCTAAGTAAACTAAGCAAATTTCTTTATGTGGCAACATACAGTTTATGGGGGGGTGTATCCCCCCAGTAATTACATGTGTCCCTTTATTAATAAACTCATGAGATTTTGAGGAGCACTAGTAGTGTATTTGTGCTTTTCAGAATCTCACCCAGTTTGTTGCTAATTTTAAAAAATTCCTTTTAAAAAAACAAAGTGTATTTTACTGTTGAGGCGTGGCATGGTGAAAACTGCCCTTTGTGTATGGTGTGAAATTACTGATGAACTTTATAGCTGACTCAGTGCCCTGAGTTCCAGTGCTTTGCTAGCAAGAGACAGGGAAGTTGGCACCTCCATTCCCCCATCCCATAAATCTTTTTTTATGGGCTAGAAATGTAATTCTTCTTTCTACTGCCAGATACTGCATGTGTTTGTAAATATATACTCTGCTTTCCTGCTTCTCCTTCATAAATATTTTCTGTAACTCAGTCTTTTAATCCTCATATTGCAAACAATTTCTTTATATGCAGTAATAAGTGTGCTGTTATTTACTTTTAGATATGATGAATGGGTGAAAGCTGATCGGATTATCTGGCCTGTGGACAAAGGAGGACCAAAGAGAAAACAGAAGAAAAAAACAAAAGTAATGGTTTTTTCCTTAAGTTTTTTTGTGGTACAATACTTAACAACTATCACTCTTCATTTTTGAGTTTTGGGGTTGTTTTGTTTTGGTTTTTTTTAAGTTGTTCAGTCCACAGTCTAGATTTTTACTTGAAGTGTAGAGCAAAAGGAAAAAAGCTTTGATGATCAGCAGTGAAACATTAATAAAGTTTTGTTTTTGTTTTTGTTTTTGTTTTTTAAGTTATTCAGTCCACAGTCTAGATTTTTACTAGAAGTGTAGAGCAAAAGGAAAAAAGCTTTGA